ACAATGTGACTACTACTAAAAAAAAATAGGTGAAATGCTTCAGGACATTAGTCTGGGAAAGGATTTTTTTATCCCCTAGAACTGAAGCTTGAGAATGAGAAAAGAATTTATGAATAAGACCTCAAAAGCACAGGAGGAAAACCAAAAATATACAAACAGGGTTATATCAGACTAAAAAGCTTCTGCACAGCAAAAGTAACAATCAACAGAGTAAAAAGAAAACCTACAGTATGGGAAAAAATATGTGCACACTTTACTCATCCAACAGGTGATTAATATCCAGAATATACAAGGAACTCAAACATCTCAACACAAAAATACAAACAATCCGATTTAAAAATGGGTAAATAATCTGAACAGACATTTCTCAAAAGAAGACATACAAATGGCCAATCAATATATTTTAAAATGCTTAACATCATTAATCATCAGAAAAATGCAAATCAAAACCATAGTGGTCTATCATCACCTCACCCCAGTCAGGATGGCTATTATCAAAAAGATGAAAAATAACAAATGCTGGCAAGGGTGTGGGGAAAAGGGAACTCTTATACACTGTTGGTGGGAATGTAAATTAGTACAGACACTATAGAGAACAGAATGGAGGTTCCTTAAAAAACTGCAAGTAGAACTACCGTATGATCCAGCAATCCCACTACTGGGAATTTAGCCAAAGGAAAGTAAATCACTATATCAAAGAGACATCTGCACCTTCATGGTTATTGCAGCACTATTCACAATAGCCAAAATATGGAATCAACCTAGGTGTCCAACAACAGATGAATGGATAAAGAAAATGTAGTATATATACACAAGGAAATACTATCAGCCATAAAAAAGAATGATATCCTGTCATTCACAGCATTCCATGGATGGAAATGGAGTACATTATTTTAAGTGAAATAAGCGAGGAACAGAAAGTTAAACACCGCATGTTCTCACTCATGTGTGAAAGCTAAAAAAAAGTTGATCTCATAGAAATAAAAAGTAGAACAGAGGATACTAGATGCTGGGAAGGGTAAGAAAATAGGGAGAGATTTGTTTGTTAAAGGACACAAAATTACCTTGTTCTGATCACTATGTATTGAAGCATCACTATGTACCCCCATGAATATGTACAACTAATATTTGTCAATTTTTTTTTTTTTTTGAGTTGGAGTCTCACTGTTGTCCAGGCTGGAGTGCAGTGGCACGCTCATGACCACCGCAGCTTCCATGTGCTGGGCTCAGGCAAACCTTCCACCTGTCTTCCAAGTCGCTGGAATTACAAGCAAGCACCACCACGCCTGGCAAATTTTTTTATTTATTGTAGAGATGAGGTCTTACCAACTTGCCCTTGCAGTCTCGAAGCCGTGCTCAGGCAGTCCTCTCACCTCAGCCTCCCAAAGTGCTGATATTATAGGTGTGAGCCACTGTGCCCAGCCAATATTTATCAATTTTTTAAAAATCAAAGATAAAAAAAGGGACAAAAATCCCACAAAAGTAATAAAACCAAGAGCTCATTTTTTGAAATATCAAAAAATAATTTTGTTAAGATGGGAATTTTCCCCAAACTGATCTTAACATTCAAAGCAATCCCTGCCAAAGTCACAGCAGACTTTTTTTGTACAAACTAATAAACTAACTCTAAATTTAAATGAAAGTGTAAAGGACCTAAACAATTATGGAAAAAAGAACAAAGAATGGAGAACTTACACTACCTGATTTCAAAACTGTACTCTAAAACCAAAAATCATTACATTGTGGTATTGGAATTTAAAAAAAGAAAAAAAGAAAACATACAGATGAGAGGAATCCAGAAATAAAATCTTACATTTTATTGTCAATTGATTTTCAACAAAAGGACAAATGGGGAAAAAATAGAATTTCCTTGGATATTGAGATTTTTTTTAAAAATTAACTTAGACCCTTACCTCAAATCATCTACAAAAATTAACTCAAAATGAATCACAGACCTAAGTGTATAAACTGAAGTCTTGAGTCACACATAGGAGAAAAGCTTTATAACTTTGAGTTGATAAGCAACAGTTGTTAAGATATAATACCAAGAGTATAAACCGTAAAAGAAAAAAATTGATAAATTGAACTTCATTAAAATTAAAAGCTTTTGCACTTCAAAAAGACATTATTTGGAAAGCGAAAATGTAAGCCATGGAATGGGAGAAAATATTTGCAAATGTGATAAAGAACTTGTATCCAGACTAAATAAAAACTTATAAAAGTTTTCAATAATAAGAAAAATAGGCCAGACACAGTGGCTCAAACTGTAATCCCAGCACTTTGGGAGGCCGAGGTGAGAGGATTTCCTGAGCCCAGCAATTCGAGACCAGTCTGGGTAACTTGGTGAGACTTTGTCTCTACAATAAATCACAAAATCTAGCCGAGTCTCTACAATAAATCACAAAAACTAGACGAGTGTGGTGGCATGCATCTGTAGTTCCAGCTACTTGGAAGGCTGAGGAGGAAGGATTGCCTGAGCCCAGCAGGTAGAGGCTGCAGTGGCCATGAGCATGCTACTGTACTCCAGGCTGGGGGACAAGAATGAGACTCCAACTCAAAAAAAAAAAAAAAAAGAAAGAAAAAGAACCAATTTTAAAATGGATTCTGATACATGCTACAATATGGATGGACATTGAAAACATTATGCTAAGTGAAATAAGTCAGAAACAAAAGGAAAAATATCATATGATTCCACTTATATGAGGTAACTAGAATAGGCAAACCCATAGAAACAGAAAATAGGACAGAGGTTACCAGGGGCTGAGGGGAAAGTGGAATGGGATGTTATTGCTTCAGGGGAACAGAGTTTCTGTTTGGGATGACAAAAAAGTTTTGGGAATAGATAATAGTGATGGCTGTACAACAGTGTGAATATACTTAATGTCACCAGATTGTGCACTTAAAAATGGTTAAGGTGGGGCCAGGCACAGTTGCTCAAGCCTGAATCCCAGCACTTTGGGAGGTGGAGGCGAGAGGGTTGCCTGAATCCAGGGGTTCAAGACCAACCTGGGCAACTTGGTGAGACCTTGTCTCTACAATAAATCAAAAAAATTAGCCAGGAAAGAAGGTGCATGCCTGTAGTTCCAGCTACTTGGAAGGCTGAGGCAAAAGGATCACCTGAGCCCAGCAGGTTGGGCAGCAGTGGCCATGAGCATGCCACTGCACTCTAGCCTGGTCACCAGAGTGAGACTCCAACTCAAAAAGAAAAAAAAAAAATGATGAAGGTGGTGACTTTTTTACCACAATAAAAAAATTTAATTTTTAAAAAATAAGTGGAAACTCGAATAGACATTGCACCAAAGAAGACATACAAATGACCAATAAGCAAGCATATGAAAAATTGCTCAGTAACATTAGGTATTAGGAAAATTCAAATTAAAACCACAATGAGATACCACTATATATCCACTAGAATGACTGTATTCAAAAAGACAGATAATACCAAGTATTAGTATGACTGCAAGCAAGCTTTTTTGAATTTTAAAGGATGATGGCAATGTCCTGGAATGGAATTGTGTTGATGATTGCACAATTCTACAAGTGTACTAAAAACCATGGAGGCTATGGAGAAACTGGAGCCCTCATTCATTGCTGGCAGGATTGTAAAATAGTACAGTCACATTGGAAAATTGTTTGTCTATGTTTTACAAAAATAAAAAAATTAAACATATCATCACTATAAGACCTAGCAATTCCACTCCTAGCTAATTACCCCCCAAAAATGAAAATATATTTTCACATGAAAGACTTGTCATAAGCATTCACAGCAGCTTTACTGATAATAGCTAAGAATTGGAAACAATCCAAATGTCCTCAATTAATGAATGAACAAACAGAATGTGGTATAGCCAAATAATAGAATGACTTAGACATAAAAGAAATGTATATATGCTAGAACATGGCTGAACCTCAAAAACATTATGCTAAATGAAAGAAGCCAGGTACAAAAGACCTCATACTGTCTGACTCCATTTATACAAAATGTGTAGAAAAGACAAATTTATAGAGATACAAAGTATGTGAGTGGTTTCCTGGGGCTGGGGTAGAAGTAAGGACTGATTGTAAGCAGGCTTTTGTGAATTTTAGGGGATCATGGCAATGTCCTAAAACTGAATTGTGTTGTTGATTGCACAGTTCTATAAATTTACTAAAAACCATTTAATTGCACACTTATAATGGGTGAATTTTTGTGGTGTTTAAATTATATCTAAATAAAGGTGTTAAAATAAATTAACTAATTAAAATGTGACAATGAGAATAGGAAAGAAATGAGGTTTAATTTCAGGAAGCATACTTCAGATACAATCTCCATGACAGGAAACAAGATTTTCCTTAATCTAGCCATATATCTATTATTAATATATTTAATACTTACATGTGAAAGATATTAACATTATGCAGTGATGAAAGCCCAGATCCTAAATGATCTTCAGTTTCTGAACTAAATTGTGTGATTCCTGTTTACAAAATCTAAAAATAGGTAACATTGGCCTTTTATTGGGCTCATTTCAGAGAAAAATAGAGCAATAAAAGGGGAGTATAAGAAGCAATTCAAATAAATACCTAAGCTGTTTAAATAATAAACTGTATTACATATAATCATTATGACCTAGAAACATTTCATCTGAAACAGCAAATGCCAACCTAGTAATTGACTTAATAGCTGTCTTCAAAGATATGAAGGATTTTACAGTGAAACTATTTGACCAGTTCTTTCTCTCCACTGAAAGCTAAACAAAACAAAATGCTTTAATAATCAGCAAGGTAAATTTAGAATAAACATAAATAACGCTGACAGTAACTGCTATCAAATACTGGAATAAATTTAATTAGAATATTTGTGCAAGCTGTCTCCTTGGCAATCATTAAGAATAGACAAGATAGACAGTTTTGGTCACATGTGCTATTGCCTGAGAGGTGGAAATGGGAGTTGGGTGACCTCCTGACATGGAGAACTCTGTGGAAAGGGACACAGCCAATCTGACTTTCACACATCTTACCTCAATATCCCGATTAAGTTGCTTCACTATGGCAGTTATGTTTCTGATGTGCTCCTCCAAGAAAAGCCTGGCCAAACGGTCGCCTCCTCCTTTGTTCTGCATTTTCTGCAGACTGCTAACGATGTCATCCTTGATCCGGAAGGCGTGCTCCACAAGGGCAGCGGTGGTCTTCTCATGGCAAAGGATCCTATCTTCCAGCTGCTCTACCAGGCTCACCGATGAGTAGGGTGCCATGGTCAGGGACTGGCTGTGTCGGGGCATGGTTCTAACACGCCTGTGGAAGGGAGCCACAGGATGAGTGCTGCTAATTGGGAAAAAAATAATTGTTAAAGCCAGATTCAAAACTTCCCAGAGAAGGAAACATACAAACTATCCCCACAAGCTAAAAGGGGTCTGAGGCAAGGTTGCTGCCTAAAATAGTTTTCTTCGTGAGCCAGGCAAGATCTTTAAATACTTGTATCCACAGACTGAGTACTGATGGCAGGCTCCATGACTTCCAAGCAAGAGGGTGGCAGAATTGGGCACATCAAGGTGCCTCCCCAACATTAACTGTCTTATCAAGATCAAGTTCACTAACAAAGTCTTCTGACATGTTCTCTTCCTCCTCCTTTTCCCTGATGCTGTGGTTACAAATTCAGATGCCTACATTGGTTAAGCAGGTGACATACATGAGTGAAGCACACTATGGATAATGCAATAGGGTAGGGACTTTGACAAAGGCATTTCCCAACTAAAGGGAGCCATAATTCTGCTCAACCCAGAAGTGACCAGTTGGGAATGCAGTTCTATTTTTCCAGCTTGTCTGATATTTCAAAAAGAGCTAGCAAATCCAGACTTGTATGTAAAATCATCTGATTTTTAAAAGTGGACAATTCATTTTAAAAGTATTTAAGATCATGCAGGTCAAGCAATGTACTTTCCTCAGCCAATATTGGTCTATGGACACCTAACCTGCAACTTTTTTTTTTTTTTTTTTTTTTTTTTGAGTCAGTGTCTCACTCTGTCGCCCAGGCTGGAATGCAGAGGCACTCACGGCCACCGCAGCATCGACCTGCTGGGATCAAGAGATCCTTCTGCCTCAGCCTTTCAAGTAGCTGAAATTAAAGGTGCACAACACCATGCCTGGCTAATTGTTTTATTTATTGTAGAGATAACGCCTCACCAAGTTGCCCAGGCTGGTCTCAAACTCCCGTGAGCCACAGCACTCAGCTGCAACTTTGGATTTAAAAGGGTTAACAGGGACATTAAGCCTCAAGCCTCCAGAGTTATATTTTACTGTTGACAGAAGTTCAATCCTACTATAGAACTACCATGAAATATCTACCTCTTGGAGTCACTGAGTGGTCCACAGTGTCCCATAAATGGAAAGCTAGGAGAGATGACACAATAGTGCTTCTCTTGCCCTTGAACAAAAATATTATTGGATAATGTAACAGCTGAGCTTTTATTTATAACAACTATCACACCCACTAGCAGCACCCATGGGATTGGTGAAAACGAAAAGTATACCTTAGATGCATATTTTCCATATATTATGCCTTTCCTCAGTGACAAGAGAAGGAAGTACAGTACTCTGTTGGGCCATTTTCTTTTTAATAATTCACATCTGTTGAAAAAATAAGTACTAAATTATTTAACAGTTTATATCTAGAACTTAACCTCAAAAGCTTATTATTAAGTTATTGAGTGGATCATAAATTATGTTGATACACTGATCAGTTACATGATTAAATGCTTTATGTCTTATATATGAAATAAACAGTGACTGCTTCCAAATAAAGAGAAAAGAAATCAAGTAAAATCAAAATGCTCCTGAAATTAATACTGCTAAGCCTTGCTAGACAAACAAGGACTGTTAAATGAAGTTTCCTAACCATTTCTCACGCTAAATCTGCATCCCAAGCTTGAGAAACCACTGTTATAGAAACTAGAGTTGTTGCATTTTTTGTTTGTTTGTTTGCTTGTTTTTGAGTTGGAGTATCACTGTCACCCAGGTTGGAGTGCAGCGGCATGCTCATGGCCACCGCAGCCTTGAGCTGCTGCGCTCAGGCGATCCTTCCACCTCAGCCTTCCAAGGCTTATTGTAGAGATGAGGTCTCGGCAAGTTGCCCAGGCTGGTCTCCAACAGCTGGGTTCAGGCAATCCTCTCGCCTCCGCCTCCCAAAGTGCTGGGACTACAGACATGAGCCACCACACCCAACTAGAAACTATAGTTTTTTAACAAGCTTATTCAATCTTACACCTCTCTGCAGAAATCTGCAAAGCATTACCTTAGTGAATTGATTTCAGCAAATTTTCACTACTAATTCCACGGCAAATTGAGAGCACATGTTTCTAAACTGATCTTAAATGAAATGGCACAAGATCCATGTCATCTGATTTGGGAAAACCGATCTATCCATTAAGGGAATGAGAATGATATTCTTCATTAAACTTTAAAACTATATTATATGGCCGGTATTACATGGCTGGGTGCAGTGGCTCATGCCTATAATACCAGCAATTTGAGAGACCGAGGTGAGAGGATTCCATGAGTCCATGGGTTCAAGACCAGTCTGGGCAACTTGGTGAGACCTCATCTCTACAATAAATCAAAAAATTAGCTGAGCGTGGTGGTGCATGCTTATAGTCCCAGCTACTTGGAATGCCTAGGTGGAAGGACCGACTGACCCCAGAAGTTCGAGGTTGCAGTGGCCATGAGCATGCCACTGCACTCCAGCCTAGGTGACAGAGTGAAACTCCAACTAAAAAAAAAAAATTTATTATAAGATATTATCATTTCATATTACATCTTGCATATAAGGCACATTTGGTCATCACAACACATTAAAAATCAGAATAAAACTGAAGGGTTTTTAAACTATTTCATTACTTAGGTTTCTCAACACTGCTGTCAATTGCCCTAAAACAATGAATGCCTGGTAACCGTGATCTGACTCTGTAATTAATTCTCATTTACACTCTGGATTCAGAAAGCGTTTCTGATTGAAACCATTGTTTTGGCATCATCTCTCCAGTGTTTTATTTTTAGAATTTTGAATGTGAACCTTTTACTTTCCTAGAAAAAGAACTTTAAATTTAAACAAATTACATTTAAGAAAAAAAGAATTCATGCCAAACAAACTACAATGCTCAAGGAGTTCTTCATAGTCAAAGACAAGAATTTCTGCCATGTATACTATAGTAGTTTCCCCCACCACCCCTTTATCTGTAGGGAATACATTCCAAGCATCCCCTAGTGGATGCCTGAAATCATGGAGAGTACTGAACCCTCTATAGACTGCATTTTTTCTATTTATGCATGCCCATGAAAGTTTAATTTATATATTAGGCATAGTACTCTTGTGTTTGGGGGCCATTATTAAGTCAAATAAAGCTTACTTGATAACAAGCATGTCAACACCCTTGATCTGATAACAGAGGCGGTTCCTAAGTGACCCATGGAGGAGAGTATACATGACATGGATATGCCAGACAAAGGGATGATTCCTTTTCAGACAGGAAGGAGCAGGACAGCACAAGATTTCATCATACTACTCAGATCAGTGCACAAGCTAAAGCTTATTTCTGGAATTTTCCATTTAATATTTTTGACCATGGTTGACCTCGGATAATGTGGAAAACAAAACCATGGACAAGGTGAGGAGGCTACTGTAAATAAAATTAGGCCAGTGTGGAAAATGCTGTTATTTAGAAGCATAGAATCCTTGCAATTTTAAAATTGTAAGACACATCCGTTGAGATATTAATTTACAGAATTAGTTTACCGAATAGATGCTCTATGGCATCTATTATGTAGCTAAATAACCTAAATAGGTAAGACAAAAACACTTCCTACAGAAGAAGTCACCTAAACTAATAATAAAACAATGAGTTAAGTGGCTAACCGTAGGAGAAAAACACATGGAGAGGGAAAAAAGGAGAGGGACTAATTTTTCCTGGGTGGCAGATAGGTCAGGGCAGAACTGATGAGAATGAAAAGGCTTTCCCCAAGCAGGGAATGGAGAGATAATTCCACAGCTTTTCTCTTCAATTCTTCAACCGCCACTTCCTTTCTTCTCAATACACTATGGCCTAACATACTCTTCCAACCTCATATGTAGCCACTCCTTACCGTACTCACCTACTCCAGGCAACTTCAACCTTCCTCACAGCCACTCCAACTACCACCTTGGATATGTTCTGCACTCTCTTGCCATCATACAAAGGTACAAACATGCTCTATCGGAAACGCCCCTCCCACCAAGGCCAGCCTGGAAAACTGTTATTCACCCTTTAAGGCCCCACCATCACCTCAATTCTATAAAATGGCTCCCTCTTTTGTATTTTTTCAGCTCTTTACCTGTTTTTATGCTACTTATTATGCTGTATTATTTTTAGCTGTTTAATAATCTGTCTCCCCTTCTAAACTACATGCTCTTAAAGGTAAGTTTCAAATCTTAATAGACATAGAGCTGATCTAGAAGACGCCATAGCTTGTGGGTAATAAGGGAGAAAAGAAGACTCCATATATGTTTATTAATGAGTGAATGAATGATGAGTGCTGCAGGATCAGAAACTATAGCAATAAAGGCATTAGAGAATATGGTTTAGTTAAAAAGTATAACTTTTACTAACACTAAATTCCAAATATTAGACACTCAATAAGTGTCTGAATGAATGTAGACTTCTAGCATTCCCTTCTCTGCAGGTCGTTACATCTATCTGGATGAGCTACCAAAGCCCAACCACACTGACTTTTTGAAAAAGGCCTCTACACTCCACTGATTATAGAAGATGGCTTTTCAGAAGCAAACCCTACCATGTGCCATGCAGCTCTATGGCAGGAAATTTCACATGGCATGAGTTCACAACTCATTCAGAACTGGTGCCCTTCCAAGAATGTGGTGAGTTTCTGCAAATCTGTTAGGTTGCCTGGTTCGTTAGTATTATGACTCTTTGTCAGAACATGAGATCTGTAATGCAGATGAATAAAGACTGATAATACATAAATCACGGGATTAAGTAACTTCTCAAGCGTCATTTCCAGATCTTCCCATTGCTAATTCTGTCATTTCTGCCTGAGGTTATCACCTCCTATACATTTATTAATCTAATCTCTGATATAGCAAGTTGGTCTACAACCTTATCACACAGGTCTGAGTTGCATGCTGTTTGATTTTATCATGATTCACTGTTATATTAAACAGTATCTATTTTATAAGTTTAAAAAGTTTAGCCGGGCTCGGTGGCTCAGCCTGTAATCCCGTGCCTTTGGGAGGCTGAGATGAGTGGATTGCCTGAGCCCGCAGGTTCGAGACCCGCCTGGGCAGGCGAGACCTCATCTCTACAATAAATCAAAAAAATTAGCCAGGCGTGGTAGCGTGCACCTGTAATTCCAGCTACTCGGAAGGCTGAGGCGGAAGGATCGCCGAAGCCCAGCAGGTCGAGGCTGCAGTGGCCAGGAGCGGCCACTGCACTCCAGGCTGGGCGACAGAGTGAGACTCCAACTCAGGAAAAAAAAAAAAAAAAGTTTGGAGAACTCAGGGGAAGGAACAGGGAGGTAAAGCAAGGAGAAAATAATTGAAAGAAATAAGAAAAGCCAGGCTCGGTGGCTCAGTCTGTAATTCCGTGCTTTGGGAAGCTGAGGTGAGTGGATTGCCTGAACCCACGGGTTCGAGACCCGCCTGGGCAACTTAGCGAGACCTCATCTCTACAATAAATCAAAAAATTAGCCGGACGTGGTAGTGTGTGCCTATAGTTCCAGCTACTTGGAAGGCTGAGGCGGAAGGATCGCCGGAGCCCAGCAGGTCAAAGCTGCAGTGGCCGGGAGCAGCTACTGCTCTCCAGTCTGGGCGACAGAGTGAGACTCCTACTCAAGAAAAAAAAAAAAGAAAGAAGAAAAAGTAAAATAATGTTCCATATATACAATATAGCAAAAGAATTTAGAAATTCAACACAAGAGTAAAGGGGAATGCCATTATCTAAATCAAAATAGTTATTTGTGATTATTACAACTTTTTGAGGAAGGAAGAAGCAAAAAAGCAAGTGGATCTAGATACATATGAATGTGTTAATATTTTAATGACAGAGATATTAATGTCAACCAATTATATTTTATAAGCCATGTGACATTGAATAGAAATACCTACAGTATCATTTTAATGTAAAATGATAAATGAATCTAATAAATTAAAATGACAGTTTTTGCTGAAAAGTTGAATACCAATTACGTAAAACCTAACAGCTAATTTTTTATTCACTATTAAAATATACCGCTGATATGTTATGCCAAGTGTTAGAACTTGGCAAAGCATTTATGAATAAAGTGGTTGTAATTTGATGGTGGGGGGAAAATGCCTATTTCCTTATAGTTAAAAATAGAGTGAAATGATAGAGGGCGGAGAACAGTTGAATGTGTGTCTGGAAAGACAGGTGGGAGCTGTTCTCTAACTCATCTCCAGCAATGCGGGACTCTGGAGTTTACCCCAGGGACAGTGAGGAACAATGGGAAGTTTCAGGATATAGGGTGGTGGAAGGGAAAAGCGTCCAGCAGGCAGACGCCAGAGGAAGGGAGGAGTCACAGAGGCAGATACCAGCCCAAGACCCAGGGGATTAGACCTGGAT